AACAAAGAAAAAAATGGATTTCAAAAAAACTCTAAGACACAATTATATCAATTTAAACCAAAACTTCAAAGATCTGTAAAAAATGTTGAATAAGAAAAATTCTATGAACACAGAATACGGAACGATAAATTCATAAGACAAAAATACAACTTAGAGCAAATTAATTAAACATTCTAACATTGCTTTGAAACTTAATAATTTTAGAATTTGTTAGTTTTATAACAATATTCGATTAGTTTCAAATGGGTTAATAAAATCAATTTCTGTTTAAAACGCAATTACAGTTATGTTATACTATTTGAAGTGAATTATTATTAATGGTGATCTGAAACTGAAGTATGATTTAATTTTTTTGCTATTTGAGCAATAAAATACTGCAGACGAAGAGAACAAGACAGTTGACAGTTCAGGGTTTTTAATAGAAATTGAGCTCGAAGCGAATGAACATAGTGTTTTTGTTGTTGAGTCATTTTCATGGTCGTGAAGTTTTATATTATGAAGATCAGAATAAGCTGACATACGCAATAAACTAGCCTCAATGAAAAGAGCGAGACAGTTGACAGATCGGAATGATTATAAGAAATAGAACATTACATGAAAACACTCTACACAAATTCGTTAGGTAATAGTTTGAAAATTGAATAATTTCTTTCAGCATTATCCTGGTCGAAAATTTTTCAAATTTGATGATCACAATAAGCTGCTCAAATCACATGCGATGAAATTTTGCCAATGAAAAGAACAAGGCAGTTGACTTTCCGGGATGATTACAAAAAGTAGAACACTAAGAAGTGTAACATGTTGTTAAGGAATATTTTGGTCCATATTAAATCATTTCATTTATCATTTTTCTGGTAGTAGAGTTTTCTATTTTGATGATCTGAGTTTGCCATCCAAATCACATTTAATGAAATGTTGTCAATGAAATGAACATGATAGTTGACAGTCCAGAGCGATTGCAAAAAGTAGAAAACTAAGAAGCACGCCGAGTCTTAAGGGATATTTTAAGCGTGGTGAATTATTTCCTGATTTTTTGTTTAATGTTAATTTATTGTCAACGTACTGTACAGATTTGCTGTATCTTTCTTTTACACTTAAGTATTATGCAGAAATTACGTAACTACCCTCAGCTAGAAAGAGGAAATTGACAGCTGCATCTGCAAAATCATCAATGATTATTTTGTCAGTATCAGCTTTTCGAAGTAAAGGTGGCCTTTGCGCAATGCTGACTATCATGTCGTTGGTCATGAAATTACGGAGCCCTAACTTCTACGATGGGTCTCACGCAGAATTGCCTGTTGCTGGAATAGGCAATGTTCCGTCACACATTGTGGTGTATATCTGAAAAATAACCGCATAAAAAAAGTAGTAGCTTGCATTTCCTTAAACTAAATGGCTAATTTTTTTTTGCCTACCAATTGTGTTTTGACCTCAGATTAAAATATAAATAGTTTTATTATTCTAGTTGACAAAATCTTGTTCAAGCAGAATAAATTTATTTAATTGTTATTTTACTATATTCAAACAAAACAGATAAGCATAAATAAGATGGTATTCAAACTTCTAACAGTGAGAAAATCGTTTATTAACTGCATTCTCCTAATAATTAATAGTATTATATTCACCTCAACCGGAATTTTATCTCACCAGCTAGGCTCAAATAATGAAGCCACTTAATTCCTTGCAGATGGGTGCGTATTATAGCCGAGACGTCTAATCTGTCTATCTCATGACCGGCAGAAGGTGGGTTCGATTCCCGAAGAGTTTCCAGGGCCCTGTACTTCCCGATTTGAGACTCTGGAATATTAGAATACAATACTCTCTTTCATGTTTAGATGGTAGTACCATGACATAAAAAAGTCTAGTATTCCGCATTGCTTACGATATGTGGAATAACCAGATAAGCTAATTAAACCACATTCCACTGCTTATTTGGAAAACGGAACTCAACTACAACTAAGATCATCCTCTAACGAAAAGCCTGGTTCAGTTATCCAGTTAATTTTCTATTTTTACGGTATTGTAGCCATGCTAGTTTTAGATAGTAAAACCCCCTATAGTTTCGTAACCATGGTTTCTTATCTATACTAGCTGTAAACGGTTTCAAAATCGCAAACGTAAAAATTGCTCTTTACCGTAAACTTTACTGTTAAGGTTTATTGGATGGACAGACTGCTGGTGGTTATTTTACCGTAATTTTAGAATGGAAATTTGTAAAAGTGTGTTTTGATAACCCTTTTTTTAATAAAAGGAACCACCCTTTTAAAAGAAATCATTCTACAAATAGTAGGAATGTTTTCTATTACAGTTACTTGTGTCGTGAATTTTAGGACGTTCCTGGGGAAACATTTAAAATTAAATTTGAATTTATTCCCATGTTAGCTGCCTAATCCTCTTTGTTCATCTCTCATAGTTTAATGCTCGAAATACAAGCTTAAATCTGTGAAATGCCTTTAAGAAAGTCTCATTAATCCCTTCATGCTCGTTAAACACAACACTCTAAACACACGTAGGGATTTCATATAAGGTGATGTTGCATAAGTTAATGCTTGAGCACACACTCAACTGTCACTGTTTTAGAATCATTTTACGGTGCTTTGCATACCTTCATAAACTGCAAAATTTGTAGCGCTTAGTTGGGAAACTTTGTCACCGAAAATAAGCTTCATATTTTATAAAACACTCGAGAACGAAATATGACTTGATTTAGTTTAGATTAGGCAATGAATCAAATTCATATATAATAGGTTTAAAAATGAATAGGATATAATTTTCTATTTTTTATTATTCAGTCAGTCTCATATTGCTTTTATCAATCATTAGGTTGTTTATCATTCATTTAGTTTTACTTTGTCAACTTTTAGTACAAATTAAGATAGTTGTGTTCATATTTTTAAAATATAAAAATTATTTAATGCAAACATGCTTTTCTATAATTTTCCATAAACGGGTATTGCTTGTAAATAGCACAACTTTGATGAAATAACCTATTTTTTTTCTTTTTTGAATTGAGGGTTATTGATGAAAATGGAACGTTGCAACCCGATAAAGTTTTATTTCATACCAGTCTACTCTAATTTGTCACAAAAATTTTTTAAATATAGTTGCCAACCTAAAAAATCCAAAAAAAGTATGTTAATGATCACTTTATTTCAAATTAAAACCAAATAATGTGTTTTTTTAAAATTTATGTGGTGAAGCTAAATTTAAACTCCAATATTGATAAATGATTACATCAAGTTCACTCATTCGCGCATTCTGAAAATAACAATTTAGGCGTAAGTTTGGATATCGTTAGATGATAACGGTATGCTATTTACAAACGATCCAGAGAAAAAATGAATTTGTTGTCTTGCCCGCTGTTGTCCTCCCACTATTCTATGCTGCAAAATGCATGTTCGTTTCTAGTTGTGTTATAAGTGTAGTTATATTTTAATTTGTATACATGCGTCAATATGATTTTATAATATATTGTATCTATAGGCTTCCGTATTCTTAAGCCTAATTCGAATTCACCCTAATATTCTATCTGTGCTAAGTTCAAGTTTAAATAACAAACTAATTTTACTTTAAGAATTAATCTAGAATGAGCAAAAACAATAGCTTGAAACTAAAAAAAAAAGGGAACCCGTAATAAGTTTTGGTCTAATGATCGGATCTTCACGTTCTAAGAATCAATCTTAATGTTTCAAAGGGGTATCTTTAAATATGCTAATTAATGCAGATTATAATTTAAGTTACGAAATCATGCACAAAATCCTACTTTCTCTAAATAAAAATACCCTTTTTTAGATTGATTCGGATTTCTGACCCTCAGAATTGGAGGTACCCGTAATCTGGGAAATATGGTTCCGATAGTTTGGGGTCAGGAGGGCTGTGCAAAATGTTTTGTGAATTGAAAATTTTTTGCATATGATTGTAATGAATTGCAAAGTATACAATACTTTTGCATCATTTTGAAGAATTTATTATTATATGGCAATATGCAAAGTTTAAGCAAAATCTGTGGAATTGTTCTTGAAATATATAATTGACTTTTTTCTGACCCTCAAAGTATAGGATAGGGAGTAGCTGTAATCTCTAGAAAATGAGGTCAGAATAATTTGGATACCTGAGCGGTAGAAATTTTATACCCCATAATGTTAATTTTACTTTTTGAGTAATTACTAGTTTCAAAGCGAATCGTTTCTTTAATCGCCCTTCCTTTATTCAAGCATAATTCCTGGCAACAAATAATTTTAATAATTATTTATCAATTCTTTCATTATTTTATTTAATAATAATCGAAAAATTTCAAAATTTAACTTATACAAGTTTTTATATAATTTTTATCACTTTTGTATAATTTTTATATTAGATTCCGTAAATTAAAATATTGTCTGCACTAAACAATATGTATTTTTAAAGTAAGGTCCCTGAGCTAGGCCTTAGTACGTGAAAATCCAATCATTAAACCAAAAGTTATTCATGATGATACGCGTCTTACTGTGTATAACTTACATAATCGTACTTATTTAATACTTATTGTACTATGTAATATTATCTATTTTCGCATCAATCTACATTCATAAGATTCTTTTACTAAGTAAACCTACTTAAAGTGCAAAAGATGTAGCTTACAATGGTCTTTTTGCCACAAATTCTTGAAAGTTCGTTTGCACTGGTCTTCCATCTGCATAATTTAGAAACCGAATAAAATTCCTAAATATTGAAGTGTAACTGCCATCAAACTTCACAAAATACAATCTACTAAAAGGCACCTCTAAATTATCAAATGCAACCTTACTCAGCTTAGCAATATTCATTAGGGTTAAAACTAAGTTCTTTGAGCCCACTCAGCATCTCTAAGTTAAGAATTATTTCAAAAGACACGATTCCCTAACTTCATTACTTCGTAGTTAAAATGAAGTAAATTTTCATTACTAACAAAAGTGCATTTTCAGAATATTTCATAAGTCCTCTTTCAGAAATAATGCATTTTGTTCTTTATTCTCTTTTAGAATATGAGTCCCAGAAGGTTGCGACGGACTCTTTGCTCATGTCGGAGGTATCCCAGAAGTCCCTGAGCGGTAAACAGTCTGTTAATGGATCACATTATTCATCACCCACAAGGGGGCAGCACCATTTCTCGAGTAGCAAAAGTGGCGAACAGAGAAGTAAGTAGGATGGCCCAATTTTAAAATTTCCGAGCGTAGATAACTTTAGAATGAATGGTCCGGCGTCTTTTACTAGAAAAGTGCTTTTGACAATTTACCAAAAGGAGAATGAATCATTTTCAGTTCTACAAATTTAAACTGATCTAGATGTTCTATATTTTACCCTGGGACTGTCAGACAGAAAGTAGAGGAAAGAATGACACTCATCTATTTATGAAAACGCTTTGTATTTTAACAAAGTCTTAAGAATAAATAATTTATATGAGAATAAAAACTATTTCTCTATAGAATAGTTACGAGGAGCTTGTATAACCTTGTATAATAAAAGTTAAAATCGCTACATGCAACGGTATTTTTAAAAAAAAGGATGAGAAACAATTATTTTAAAACATTCATTTTAGCAAATAATACGAATAGTTGTTTTAGAATCATTTATAGTACTTTTAACAAAAAAAAAATAAAGATGTTATTTTAATAAGGACTTTGAAGAGTTATTTTAATAACAATCAATAAAATTTATTTTTATATTACACAAAAAAAAAACTTTTTATATTAAACGGAGAGCTTTAAACTAAATAGATAATGGTATTTAATATAATATAATGAGTTCTACGTTTTATGCCTCTTCAAGTGTATCAATAATCGTAGCACTATCACCATCCCCTCGACTACCACATTCATGTTACCTTTATTAATATTCCTTTTATTTGTTTCTTTGGAAATTAAAGCGTTCCTTTATCTCTAACCAGCATTCTTTTTTCATACTTTAATAGTGCCATTATGAAGCACGAAAACATTTTTCTACTTAAACTGCGAATTAAAACAAGTTTGTTTTTATTTTTTAAGTATATTTTTCCTTTATCTTTCGTTGGATTTCTCGTTTCGTTAACATTTTCCATTAGCCTATTTTTTTCGTGTATGAACACTTTTGAAAAATCTGTTAAAAGTTATTAAAATAAATAAAAGTACATTTTGAGTGGAATATTAATAATACGTTTTACTTTAAAAAAAAAATCATTCAAATCACAGTAAAAAATTTCAGAGTTTCTTGCTACCAAAAATTAGAGAAATTATCCTAAGGCGGTATTCCATAAAGTTTTTCATTACATCAAGACCAAGAATTGTTTCTGCTGTAGTGAAGCATCAAAAATGTTCTTTTACACTACTTCGTTAAGTAGTCACCACCATTTTGTTACCTAGTAACACTGAAATTTATAATTATCGCAAAGTATGATACGCATAAGAGTTAGAAATTTATATTTGTGACACAATATAAATTAACTAACTTAGTATGAATTTATATAATATTGCATGAAATAAAATTTTTTTGTTAATTAAGCATATTCACATCATAGCATATTCACATCATATTACTATGACTTCGAACTAGGCTTAACAAATCCGAAAGTGAATGGATGTTAAATATTATAAATTATTTAATACAATTGGCATACTTATGTAAATCTTCTAATGGAAGCATAAATATCTTTAAAACGTAAAACATACATGCCATTTATAATAGTTTACATGATCAGTTTGTCAAATCAATCCGACAACATTGAAATTACATCGATTAAGATCTTGGATTTTACTCTCTTTTTAGTACTATAGTCAATAGCTAAGCCTAGGTTAGGCTTCGATGATGATGAAGTACATATCATCAGAAATAATGTTCATAGTTAAGTAAATTCACTAGTTTTGTATAGCCGAAGTTTTCTGTAATCGATTATAGCACTTTTAACAAAAAAATCACAATTCCTTTTCCAACGATAACGGATCATTTAAAAACGATAACAACACGCCTGTTGCCAACTATGAATAGAGTAAATGCACCTGACTTTGTGAAAGATTTATCAATTATTGGTGCTTAGATCTAACTTTGCACTTTAAAGTGTGTGTGAAAGCTCGATTCAGTATTAGCTTGAAACAACACACAATATTTTTACAGTGTAGATTTTTCTTGATCACAATAATTTAATTAAAAGTTTATGCTTGATTCGTATTTGTTTTAACTTAAATTAATCTGGTGCAAAGCAATCTGTTGAAAAATAAATATAGATTCGAAGAGACAACTCATAATTGCTGGAGTAAAAAAAATATAATTTATTGTTTAAATATTTTGCGCATTTTATATTCATAAGTGATATAGAAAATTCCTAACAAGTGTATTTTTTATGCTATCTTAGACATTATAACAGTTTTATTTTTTAAATTATTTCAATCAGTTTAAAAGAACATTTTGTAGGATATAATTTTATTGTTTAGATAATAGGAAATTTAATTGCTTCTTGAGAAGATATAACCTGAAGGAAATTAAATATTGCGCATCAACAAAAAATATAGATTTTCGGTTTATTAGTTTATCCTTTTTTCAAAATTACTTTAATAATTATTTTTCAAAAATAATTTTTTAAAGTTTGAGATTATAAGAATATTAATATTTCATTTGATACTTATTGAAATAAGTTTGCTGATAGATTATGTTTGGTGACTTTTAAAATCATTATCAAAGAAATAGCTACATTTCTTTTCATGGAATTAACTTCAAAAGTTAAACTCATACTTACGAACTCATTGATTTTAATAGGAATTCACTTAAAGCTTTATAGCGTAAGCCATTTTTAAGATTCTACTAAATCGAATTGCTTCTATGAAATTTAAAAGAAACAAATATTCTTTAGTTTTGTAAAAACTGTTTCTTAAACGACGCTTTCATCTTTCAATTTTTAAATCATGTAAAAAGTATCATCATTAAATTTTTACGCCTGATTTGAGCTTTTGTTAAGATTAATTAAACGGATTGAACTAATTTTCAATAGATTAAATGAATTTTTACGATAACATAAATTAAACATTTCTTCTTTGTAATAAATGTTTTACCTCTTAAAGGTACTTATTTTTAAAAATTAATTAAGTATACGAAACTGATTGTACAGAATATATATATATATATATATGTAATAAGAAAA